GCGCACGACCTCAAGACTTTAAGTGATGTCTATTCACAAATATGTCATTAGAATGGAGTTTAACATCTGGCTGTCTACCATGGTTGGGAAAGGATGGCATGTTGAATGCAGAAGCCAGGAAATTCTCAAGGTTCTGTGTTTTTTCTTTTTTAAAAAAATTTTTTTTAATTGATTTCAGAGAGGAAAGGAGAGGAAGAGAAACAGAAACACCAAAGATGAGAGATAATTATTGATTGGCTGCCTCCTACACTACCCCTAGTGGGAATTGAACTCGCAACCTGGGCCTATGCCCTTTGATTACAGTCAAACTCAGGGCCCTTCAATCTGCAGGCTGATGCTCTATTCACTGAGCTACACTTGCTAGGACAAGGTTCTAGGTTTCTTAAAAAATCATTTAGACTTTCCAAACCAAGTACATTTTATGTTGCAGTCTGGTACCAGAGAGAGCCTAGTTGACATATGAGGTGTACACGTTGGTGAGTATCACTGTGTGCATGGCATTCTGCTAAACAGTTTACATGAATTATCTCACTGAATTTCCATAAAGTCCTGCTGAGATTAGTGGTAGACCTCAAATTCAGATACATGCTATCTTGTTTAAAAGTCTCTCTCTTTACCATCTATCAGTTATCTACTCATATACATGTATATACACATATACATGTCCTATACAATAAAAGCCTAATATGCAAATTGTCCCTATGGTTGGTCATTCGACCTGGAGTTTGACTACTTGCTATGATGTACACCGACCACCAGGAAGGCAGCGTGGAATACGGCTGGCATCGGCAACAGGGTGCTGGCAGAGGGCAGCATTGGAGGCACTGCCGGCCCCGATGGGCACCGACGAATGCTGGCCTGTGGCGTGATGGTGGAGGTGAGCGGGCACTGCCAGGCCAAGTTGGTGCTCAGAGGAGGGCCTGATTACCCTGCCTCTCACCCATAGACTGCGACCAGTGGTGGTGGTGACGGGGCTTCTTCCTGGCTCCCAGGCACTGAGGGAGCTCGGTGGGGGACCTGGCCCGCCCCAATTGATCACCCCACAGGCGGGATGGTGGAGCAGGTGAGGGGGTGGCACCAGCCCATGGCATGCTACCAGCCGGGGCTGTGGGGCTGTGGGGCTATGAGTATGGAGGATGGGGGACTGGGGACGGGTCCCAGCAGGCCACCCCTAGGGCCCCAACCATGCACAAGTTTGTGCACCGGGCTTCTAGTATATATATATATATATAAATATGTCACAAGAATATACTGGATTTCCAATTTATTTTTCTTTATTAATGTTGAGACAAGTTTGATAAATTCTATTTTTTCTTGTACTCATTTTTTATTTGCAAAATTTTTACAAAAAGTAGAAAAATAAATATTTTGTCAGGTCTGAGTTTGACAATTCACACCCATAAATATATAAATAGTGGTTGGGAGACAATAAATTACAAAAGGGAGGGCATGCATAAATAAAATCCAAGAGGCTGGGATAGGTTGCCGGTGGGTGTCAGGGTCAGGCACACAGGTCTCCAGCGGCCACACATCTGCTGTATTCTTTTATTTTATTTTTTTTATTAGATATTTTATTGACGTTTTACAGAGAGGAAGGGAGAGGGATAGAGAGAAACATCCACGAGAGAGAAACATCGATCAGCTAGCTGCCTCCTGCACACCTCCTACTGGGGATGTGCCCGAAACCAAGGTACATGCCCTTGACCGGAATCGAACCCGGGCCAGTTCTTAAGCAGGAGCGACTCTTCCAGGGCGCCCTTGACCCTCTTGAAGGCCTTCATCTCTTGTGGCGACAGAGACTTAAATTGGCCCATGTGGCAGCCCCTTGCACCCAGGAGGGTCCTGGGGGGCGTAGGGGCAGGAGCTGCTCCTGTCCTGGTCAGCACCGAGGCCATCAGCATCAGCACCAGCACCAGCGTGCAACACACAGCCAAGTCCAGCTTCATCCTGGCCTCTGGTCTCTGGTCTCTGTCAGCAGATGGGGATCCAAGTGTCCACTCAGAGCCTGTCACCTGGGTCTCACCCAGCCTTGGTTGGTGTCTCTGGTCTCAAAATCCTTTTCTGGGTCTCAGCCTTCTGCTCTGTCTGGATCTCTGAACTTGCAGCACTGCTGAGATGTAATTCTGCAGAGCTCCATGGTGCAGCTTTTAGCCTGGACAGAGGGGCAATCCCACCTGATGTAGGAAAAGTGAAAATGCACCTGCCACTAGGGGAGCTCCAGGCTGGGAAGTCCAGCCCATGCAGGGGTGGACCTTGAGCCAGGTGAGCAGCTGAAGTGAAAGGGAAAATGAAACAGCCTCTGATTCACTTACAGAAGGTGAGGTCATAAGAGAAATCTCAGGATATGGGCAGCCTCAGCCCCACAAAGAGGGGTCACAGTGTCCTGCTAGTTAGGTGACATAGAGACGTGCCTTCCTGCGGGATACCCCAGAGCAGGGAGAGGAGGAGAAAGGCACCTCTAGGGTAGTTGCCACAAAGAACCTGGAAAGTCCAAGAGGGAGGCTGTCAGGAGAGGGGAGAAGAGGAAGCAAGAAGGCTGCTGGGCCCTGGGAGAGAGTGAGAAAGGCAAAGCAGCCTGGAGTTAAGAGGAGACCAGGTCCTCCCTCCCTTCTCCACCCAGCACTGAGAGAAAAAGAAGGGAAGGTGGGCAACTTGACAAACATCTTTAATTGTCCAGATGCAGCAGGACCCAGGGATAGGAGGTTCTGCTGGGAAGTGAGGTGTGGCCAAGGACTTCAAAGGATCCTGCTCAGTGTGTGACAAATGCTTTCATTCATTCATTCATCAAGTATAACTCAGCCCCCACTTTGCATTAGGCATTGGTCAAGGTGCCAGGAATGGCATTGAAAACAAATTCCATTACACAAAACTTGTTGGAGCTTTTTCTTTTCTTTTTTAAAAAATTGATTTCAGAGAGGAAGGGAGAGGGAGAGAAGGAAACATCAATGTGAGGGAGAATCATTGATTCCCTTCCTCCTGCATGCCCCCTACTAGGGATTGAGCTCACAAACCAGGCATGTGCCCTTGACCAGAATTGAACTTGGGACCCTTTAGTCTGCAGGCCGACCCCCTATCCACTGAACCAAACGGGCTAGGACAGAGCCTTTTAATTTTCTTTATTTTAAAATAAAGCTTTATTGTTGATAATATTGCTGATGTCCCCCTTTCCCCCCCCATCTACCCAGTTCCTTCCCTGCCCCAGGCCTTCACCCTCTATTGTTTGTGTCCATAGGTATTGCATTTTTGCATATAAGATCTTTGCTTAATCTATTCCTATACCCCACAACCCTTCTTCCTTCCAAATATATATTTATTGCCATTTTATTTATATTTTTGCTCTTCTTCTCCTCATTCTTCTCCTTCTCCTTTCTCCTTTCTTCTTTCGCCTTTCCTCTTCATCTTCCTCTTCTTAGAGAATACCTTTCAACATTTAATGTAATACCAGTTTGGTGGTGATGATCTCCTTTAGCTTTTTCTTGTTTGTGAAGCTGTTTATCTGACCTTCAATTCTAAATGATACCTTTGTTGGTTGGAGTAATCTTGTTTGTATGTCATTCCTATTCATCACTTTGAATATTTCTTGCCACTCTCTTCTGGCCTGCATAGTTTCTGTTGATAAATCAGCTGACAGTTGTATGGGCATTCTCTTTTAGATAACTGCTTTTCTTTTGCTGCTTTTAAGATTTTCTCTTTGTCTTTAACACTTAGCTCTTTAATTTGATGTGTCTTGGTGTGGACATCTGTAGGTTCCTCTTATTTAGGACTCTTAAGTGTATTTATTTCACCAGGTAGGAGTAATTTTCTGATGTTATTTCTTCAAATAGGTTTTCAATTTCTTGCTCTCTCTCTTCAACTTCTGGGACTCCCATAATGTGAATGTTGGTATGCTTGAAGTTGTCCCAGAGGCTCTTTACAGAACCTCATATTTTTTTATTCTTTTTTCTTTTTGCTCTTCTGATTCAGTGTTTTTAGCTTCCTCATATTCCAAATCATTGATTTGATTCTTGGGATGCTCTACTCTACTGTTGAATACCTGTAAATTATTCTTTATTTCAGTTAGTGTATACTGAATTTCTGACTGGTCCTTTTTCATGTCTTTGAAATTCTCACTAAGATCCTTGAAAGTTTCACTAAGTCCCTTGAAACTCTCATTAAGATCTTTGAGCAACATTATAATCAGGAGTTTTCTTGATTCCATTTCATTCATTTCTGACATGTTTCTTTGTCTTTGCATTTTGGCTGCTTCCCTGTGTTTGTTTCTACGTATTAGGTAGAACGGCTATGTTTCCTTGAATTGGTAGAGGGTCCTTGTGTAGTAGGTGTCCTGTAGAGCCCAGTGGCTCAGCCTCCCCAGTCACCTGAGCTGGGCACTCTATGCATACCCCTGCCTGAGTTATGTGCACAGTCTTGTAGTTGAGCCTTGCTTGCTTTTGGTGTCACCCCCAGGACAATTGGCTGTAAGAACCAGCTGTGACTACAGTGGAAGAGCTGCTGTGCAGTAGATACCCCTATGGAGTAGAACTTGCTTTAGTGGGGCTTTGGTGCTCACTGAATCTGCCCCTTGAGTGTTTCACTTATGGATGTGTAGAGTTGTAATCTATTATGGTTTGAAGATGTCAACCTGGTGCTCTGGCTCTCGGGCCTTTTGGGAGGTACAAAGTCAATTACGGCCTGGGGCTGCCTGGCAGGAGCTACAGAGAGATATCTGAAGATGACTGCTATTTATATTGGCCCTGGAACTGCTAAGGCAAGGACCAGCTGTGAGGCAAGGCAGAATGGTGCTGGTGCTGAGTCTTGGGCTTCTTATTGATAGGTTTGGGGTATGCTGAAGCCAGTTTTACTTGTTCGAGAGACTTTAGAAAAGTATGAAGCCTGAGCCAGGGCAGGCCACTGATATGGAAAAAACACTGCAAACAGCTTGGTCAGGGCTGCAAATAGAATGGGGCAGAGTCTCAGGGAATCACCAGGATAGAGCAAGCAATGTGGGCCAGGCTGATGGAAACTCAGTTATGGCTGCCAGTCAGCTCCGTGATGGGGGAGGTCCCAGCACAAGAACAATGATCCATGTGAGCATCCCCATCTGGGAGAAAGCCACCACCGAATTCCTGCTCAGATGCAAGACAATCCAGTTCTTCCCATATGTCCCTGGATAACCCAAAGCCACCACCCAGTGCTAGATCTCAGAGGAAGTGGGACCATATAAATTCCTGCACCAGCCCTTTAAGGGGAACTGTCTGGGACTCCAACAGCCCTGTGTCACTCAACCACAATCTCCACTGGTTTTTATAGCCCTGAGTTGTGGGGGCTGCTCTTCCCAGCTCTGGAACCCTGGGCTAGGAGTCTGGTGTGGGGTTGGTACCCCTTGCTTCTCAGGGGAGGTCTCTGCAGTGGAGATATCCCTCCAGATTAAAAAAGATGCCACACATGGGTTATGGACCAGTCTGTTCCATGCTTCCACCCGTCCTACCAGCCTTGATGTAGTTTTTTCTTCACTTTTCTAGTTATAGGACTTCCATTGAGCCAGATTTTGGGTGGTTCTTTATGATAGTTTTTCTGTAATTATTTTAGTTGTAATTTTGATGTGGTCGTGAGAGGTGTATAATATCAGTGTTTATTTCTGATACTAGAGGCTTGGTGCACGAAATTCATGCACAGATAGGGTCCCTAGGCCTGGCTGTTGAGGGGCCGATCAGGGACTTCTAGCTGGGGCCTTTCTTCCCCAGCTGCAGGCTGCCAGCTGGGGCCTTCCTCCATTACATGCCACACCTTGGTGGTCAGCGCACATCATAGCTAAGTATCGAACGCCCCGATATCCCAGTCGAATTGTTGAGAAGACACTCTGCATATTAGCCTTTAATATATATATTGATAGTCTTAATATATGATAAATTTCTACATTGCAAATATGTGGATACAGTATGATTTTTTAAATCCTGGTGTTGCATAACTAAGGGATATGTGTTTTTTTAGCTGTTATAATGATGAATATTTTTTCCTCTTTATTTTATTTTATTTATTTTCCATCACCATTGAACCCCCCTACCCTTCTCCCACCTCTGTCCAACCCTACAATTACCACACTGTTGTGCTTTAATGAGAAGATTTTATTGTCAGACTATGTAAGTCTTGGATCCCTGATTCACTCTTCATTAGTCATATGATTTGGGGCAACTTTCTTAGCTTCTATGAAACTGTTTCTTAATTTTTAAAATGAGGAAAAATAATTTTATAATAGAATTGTTAGATACTATTCATAAGATGCTAACTTGATCTGTGCTGATTCAAAAAATAATTTCCATTTTTCTTATCAAATAATTATAAACGTCTTATTTATATCACATTTTTGTATTAGCCTTCATGCAAATTTTAGATTATTCTGAAATTTAGGAAAGTCCAACAACTGGAAGTTCTCAGTGTAGGCTTTGATCTTTATTACCAAAATTTCTAAAATAGTTTTATACAATAGAACTTGTGCAAATTAATATTATCATGAAAAATGGTTAAGAAGGCTTATTTCCTGTTCATTGTAGGTATCATTATTAGAAAAGATCTTCTCTAATTTGATATGTATAGTATTTCATTTTATTTGGTTTCTTAAATAGTTGCCAAACTTTTTTTTTTACTATTGCTATTTTTCTTTTAGATTTATCTCTTCTTTCTTACTTTGCTCTACTTTCTTGAGAATGCCCATTTTTCTTTATTTCAAAACTTTACACATGTTTCTCTTCCACTTTCCTCCCACTTTTTCCTTGGGTATTGTACTCATCACTTAAATAATGGTACTCACATCACTGCCTCAGAAAAGACTATCTTTACCTTCCAAACTAGGGCATATCTTCCCACTAATGCCTGTACTTTAAAGATAACGCAATTTCAATAACAAAAACAGAGAAAAGCACATTTAAAGCATAGTCAATTATCCTATTTAATAATAGACAAACATGGTAATTAACTGTACCTCTGACACGCTTCCCATTGGCTAATCAGGGCGATATGCAAATTAACTGCGAAACAAGGTGGCGGCAGGCAGCCAGGCAGCTGAAGCAAACAGGAGGCTTGCTTGCTCCAGTGATGGAGGAAGCCAAGGTTCCCCGCCTGCTGCTGCCGGCCTCTGAGCTGCACTCTAAGAAACAATGTTGCAATTATAGAAGCTAAACAAACCCAGAAACTTGCTTTCAGCTAGCA